TAGCTATTACGTAGTTTTATTGTATACCCTGTTCAGAATTCAGATCTCTAATTCAGTTTTAATTATCATGTTTCAGGAAATAAATAAAAGCTAGCTACTACAACAAATGAGAAAAGCGACAAGAGGGTTTGTTAAGAAGCCCAGGCCAAAGAGATGGCCAAGAAGATGGCAGGCAAGGAGAGCTCCCCATCATTTCACCACGACAAATAAGTTGAAGAAAGCACAGTATCAGTATGCCCTCCTCCATGTCCCCAGCGCTCCACTTAACACCACGTCCTACATTATCAAAGCCAAGGAAACAAACCACCACCCTGTCACCTCTTCTTCTCCCCTTCACAACGATTCCGATGGGTTCCATTTATCTTCTTTCAACGGCTATGGCTCCATGAAAGGACTTCTGGGGTTGTGCCAATGGAGCGAAGAAACAGGCGAGTCAGTCTCATCGAGCTGTCAGAGAGTGGAAGAGGAAGAGGAAGAGGAGGGAATGATGGATGGTCTGGTGCATTGGCAGCCACAGAAGAACTCTAGGATCATTTTACCAAAATTACTAGCTCTAAGGATCAGAAAACAAGGAGATCAAATTGCACATCTGGAAGAAGAGAGCCTGATGATGAAGGAGAGGGTGATGTGCCTGGAAAGAGAACTGGACGGACTTAAACACAGGGTCAAGATACTTGAACTTACCAATCATGCAATGAGCGTTGTCCGTGTTTGTTCTTGCGACGCCTCTTCTGCTTAAAGAGTTAAAGAGTTAGATATATTCATCCATTCATTAAATTACCACTTCTACCTGATATTTGATTTACATATTTTGCCAAGTGGAAAGAACGGATGACATGGCAGGTTTAGGAAATACGTGGACTCATTTTGTTGGGCAAACATATCATCTAGAAAGTCGTGTAAGAGAAAATTAATTATGACGGATGCATATGGTCTCAGCCCATGGCTCTAAGCCAGAACGGGCTTATTAGGTTTTCCTGATCGAACTCACTCAATTTTAGGGGTGTCAATTGGACTGGATTTGGTCCAATCCAATCCAATGAATATTTTAGACCATTTTGGATCGGTCTAATTTAATGTCTGGACTGTCCAATCTATTCAAATTTGTGTTAATTTAGATTAGTTCTAACCTAAAGTTGGTTCATTCACACCTATATTCTTATCTTTTATCCTTGGACTAAATATTGGCTCAATCCAACTCAATCCAATATAAATTTATTACGAATAAATCAGGTCCAATTTGATTCAATAAATATTTTTGACATTAAATCTGGACTGGTCCAATTCAATGCCTTGTTGGTTCATCCAGTCCGTCCAAATTGATGTTGGTTTGAATGGGGTCCAATCCAAAATCAGTCCATTGACACCCCTACCCATCAAATGTGATTGTAAACTGTAAAGCATTCATTCCCCAGTCACCACCCAGGCCCAGGTGTCTCCAAACCAGTCTTGATCTGCGGACCACAAAATGCTGTGCATAATATACCATACAATCGCACATGGGAACATCTCCTATTCTCCTGTACTATTTGTTGTCAATTATGGGGAGACCCAAGGCTCCATTTGGGAAGAGCACAAATGTAAATGTGTTCGGTACAAATACAAATGCAGTCATTTACATGAACCATGCATATTTGTATTTGCATTCTTCTCAAAACTAGTTCAATGCATATTTGTATTTGCATTCTTCTCAAAACTAGTTTAATGCATATTTGTAGGCATTAATATAAATGCATTCATATTAAAAAGGGTAAAATACTTATTCCTCCCTTGGCATTTCTGAAATGTACTTATACCTCCTCTCACCTTTAAAAGTTGCAAAGACCTGAGTGAAAAATTCCCAAACTACCCTTGTGTGTTTACCAGAAAAGTTAAAGTTTCATATTATCAAAATTACCCCTCTAGGCTTATTATTCTGCCATCACTTGAAATAATTCCCGCTTAGTTCCTATTTTCCAGGTCTGCCGCCCAACTCAATATTCTCAAGGATCCTACAAAAACCCTGTGTTCAAACAAAGAATACCTACTTGTTGAAGGTGATTTCACACAATTTTCTGAGTTTACTTTGATCTTTTTTTGTTTAAGTTTTTAGAGGTAGCATTTTTTCATGCGTTGAATACATTGTTTAACCTAAGCTTTTTGCGTTTTTCTATTATTGATTTTTCTTGATCTATTATTGTTTATATAGCAAACAGGGCGAGTAAAAGGTATATATAGATTCTACTTGAGTCTAGAACAGATCATACCTTGTTTTGTTATTTATATAGGCAACTTCACTGTTTGTTTAATACCTGGGTCTACTCATACATGATGAGTCCTTTTTATTTTTATTTTTTGTTGCAGAATGTTTGATGGTACAGAAGTCTTTTTCTCTGTTAAAGAAAATTTTCCTTCTGTTTAATGCCGTTTAGTATTAAGATACTTATACTGTAGGAGACAGAGGCCCCTTACCCTATTGTTTCTCTATTGGTGTCAACTGTGAACACTTTAATATATTTAGCATGCCAGTGGTCTCTCAACTGATAGGTGTTTGATGATGGTCCTTAACCATGGTCCATTGGCATAACATAAAGACTGAAACAGCCCCTTATAAGCAAAGAAAAGACACCCTGCAAGTTAAGAGTAACTCATAATGCATGGTAGATTATAAAACTAATGTCAAACCTTGCTATATTTTTTAGTGAAATAAGTATAAGATCCAATACGCAGTAGTTGCCCTTGGAGCAAAGGGAGAAGTAGAATTGTTTTGTTGTCTTATACAAATCTTATGTATTTATGTATGTTAGACAGGATACTAAATAGCATGGGAGACATTAATGTTGGGGGAGGACTAGGTGGTTTTGATGACAGCAATGTTGGTGGGTTGGTTGTTGACAATGTTGATGGAGCAGAAGAGGACTTTAGTGAAGAAAATTTTGACCCCAACTATGATATTAGTGATAGTGAGGAAGGTGAAGACGATAATGACAGTGAAGACCTTGATCTTGAGTTTGAGAACGAGGGAATTGAAAGTGGGGACTGTGCCAACAATTATTTGTCTGATTATGAGCCAACTTCTGAATATGAAAGTTTAGTTGGTTCAGATGATGAGGATACAGAAGGCCAGAAATTGTGTTTAACATAGAGGATCCAGAGCTAGAAGTCAGTATGGTCTTTCCAACAGTTAAAGAATTCAGAGATGCTCTTCCAGAGCATTCAATCATTAAAGGTTTTCAAATTGTTTGTATTAAGAATGAAAAATCTCGAGTAACTGCTTGTTGTGCAAATAATGAGTGTAAGTGGCGCATACATGCTTCTCCGCTCCAAGAGGGCACTTACTGCATAAAGACATTGCGCAATTGCCCCCGTGTTTTCCGAAATAAGCTGACAACAAATACATGGTTGGCATAAAAAATAGGGGACAAACTACGTAATGTCCCAACATGGAAATTGTAGTCAATTATGTCTGAATTGAAAAGTACATATGACATTGAAATTTCAAAGGCAAAAGTGTTTAGAGCAATTAGGAAGGCAATGAAAAAGGTTGAAGGTTGTCATTCAGTAAGTTGCCTCGGTATTGTCAAGCAATATTACAAACAAACCCTGGAAGTGTGGCAAGGTTGCATGTAGACAGAGTTATCAATAATTCACAAGCTATTTTCAAGAGAGTATTTCTCTGTTTTGCTGCTAATGCGTAGAGGGGCGATGGATGGATGTAGAAAAGTTGTTGGTTTGGATGGATGTCATCTAAAGGGCCCATATGGTGGGGTCATGTTGACAGCAGTATGTTTGGATGCAAATAATAGCATTTTCCCAATTGGTCTTGTTGTGGTGGAAGTAGAAGCAAAACCAAGTTGGACTTGGTTTTTAATTCAATTTAGGGATGCCATGGACATAGATGATGGGGTAGGTTAGACTTTCATCTCTGATCGACAGAAGGTAAAGCATTTTCCTTTTACGTGCATTCTTTTTATTATAAGTACAAATTACTTTTACAATATATATATATATATATATATATATATATATATATATATAATGTCATAGGGTTTGCTTGATGCTGTCCATGACATTATGCCTAGTGCAGAGCAGCGGTTTTGTGTAAGGCATTTGTATGCCAATTTCAAGTTAGCGCACAAGGGTATGGCACTAAGGGATGCAGCAAGGGCTTATACAGTTAAAGACTTTAATGAGGCAATGTTGAAGTTGAAAAGTTGTAGTCAACCAGCTTGAGAGTGGGTGGAGGACGTACCTCCAAAATGTTGGAGTAGGCATGCTTTTAGCACTAGTGCAAAGAGTGATGACTTAACTAACAATATGTCTGAATCCTTCAACAAGTGAATAATGGAAGCTAGGTACAAGCCCATAGTGTCTCTTTTTGAGTGCATAAGGAGAAATTGGGTGGTCAAGGCAATGGGCAGATATGAAAAGGTTTCAAATGACAACAATGTTCTTCCAAAGATTGCAAAGTGGGTTTCCAAGCAAAGACATTTTGCAAGGTATTATTCTAACAATTACATTTTTATTCTTGCAAAATTCAATTAAACATTATTTTTGTTTTTTGTATATGGGAATTGTCAAGTGTTGAGAGCTATAGAAACTGAATATGAAGTGCAATGTAATGGGATTTGGAATAGTGTGAAGTTACAAGACTCTACATGTACATGTCGATTCTGGGATATTAGTGGAATCCCTTGTCGACATGCAGTGGCCGTAACTATTCATAGGAGAGAGAGAGAGAGCATAGAAGAATACTTCAATGTGTGTTGAGACTCAAACAAAATGTTTAGAGGCTCACACTCCAAAGGTTCATCCTATTTCAGATGAGAAAATTTGGCCTCTTAGCACATGGGATACTTACTATACATGCACCCCCACTAAGAAGACAACGTGGTAGACCAAGAGTGTGTAGGCGTAAAGCACCAGATGAAGGAACATCAACTCGTAGTCAAATCCCATTAAGTCTCCGTAGAGCAACCGGGTCACCTAAACATGTAAGATGCACTAAATGGGTCACAATAGTAGGACTTGCAAAGCTCCAAATCCGATAAGTAAGAAAAGGTCTAAGGTGTCTAGTTTAGATACATCATCAAGACAGCCAAGACAGGTAGGTACATACATTCCTTAATAGTTAAATAGCATGACTATAAACATATCAGAGAAACCTAATATGTATTGTATTTCTTAACAAAATTAGGAGCACGTGGGTGGTGGAGCAAATGGAGCATCCCCTTGCATGTTACAATTCAGCACAATAGCATACGGGTAACACACAACTCATTCTTAACCCACATTATATATATAAAACAAACATATGTTAAATGCATTGTTGTCAAATTGCAGGTCTTGCGGGAACAAAGTATTCTAAATTTGAATTACTCTCTCAGCCGGGATCACAATCATACTTGCAAGGATAGGAACAACATAATGCATCCTTTTGTTCATTTAGTATTTTGCTACTTGAAAATTTGAACTGAATATGATTTGATTTGTAGACTCACCACAATTTGATTAACAACTTATGTTTCTCATTTAGTACCAAGAACAATGATGGGATGGAAGGAAGTTAGTATCATCACTAACTCAATGACTTAAATGCGTTTTTAAGTTCATTATCTATGTTTCTCATTTTGAACGATGGTGTTAGTCCCTATCTCGTTTAGCTAGAATTTATTAATTCCCCCATTGTTATTTTTATCGGTTCATTTAAGCAGTTGTTGATACTTTTATCAAATTCCAAGGCATTTGATTTTTAAAAACAAATGCACTTGGCACAATTACGCATCGTTTTGCTTAAATATGGATAACCAACACATCTCCATGACT